ATTCCAAAGGAAAATGTGTCATGAAGTGTAGAAAACCCTTGAAGGATTCAAATTGCTTGAAGTAAGCCTCTGAAGGGTAAAACATAAAATATGTACTCAATACCAATGGATGATATAAATTGCCTTAGTGAGTACTATCATTATGATATTGTTGCAACATACTAAAATCTCTTGCAAGAGTCAATGACATTAAATTATAACTCTTGAAGAGTTGATGATATTAAATTGGGACTCCTGCAGAGTCTAGAAAAATTATAAAGTGTTGAAGGAATTATTGTCTCGAGCTGCAGATCGAACAATCTACCAACACGAATCTTATCCATGATATTTATGATATTAAAAGAACCATATGGATTGAAGATTATGAGTTGAATACTCATATGATGAAGACACTAAGAATAATCATTTATCTTCGTGAGGGTAAAGATAAATTAATATTTGGTCCAGAAGTACCACATCTTAGTGAAGTATATGCTTTATTGTATTTGGCACAATACATTGAATGAAATAAAGCTTATTTATTAATATCTCCAAGAAATTACAGATATGTACATATACATGAGTTAAAACAAACAAACAGGATGGAGCCTTCACAAAGGTTGCTCATGTGAAGCCTCAGTACTTGGAAGTACCCCAGAAGGGGGAGGCACTGGAGATTGATCATGTGGCACCCCAATACTTAGCAAAACACCAGAAGGGGAAGGCATCAGTTGCTTTCGGAATCTAGCAACGAACCTCTGGTGATCACTTTGAATCCGACTTTCGGATTCCTGCAGTTGGACGAGCTTTCTTTTCATGCTCGTAGAGTAATTATTTGCAAGCACGTGTAACACCCTATTCTCGTGCTTGAGCCCTCTGATCTCTTGTTTAAGACTTGCCACATTCGCCATTAATGATTCAACTTGGCGAGTTTGAGCAAGTAGGCGTTGGCCCATATTGGAAACAGAGCCAGCACATTGAACACTGAGAGCCAAGGAGTCTTGAACGGCCGACTCTTCAGACTGTTCTGAAAGGATCTTGTTATCCCTTGGAGTGAGAAGATTTCTAGCTACCACAGTAGCGGTTATGTTATTCTTCATCACATAGTCCCCAACCGTAAGAGGACCATTAGAAGATAAGAAGGACGGGCGCCATATATTATCCTGACGCTGCTCGTCTGTATCACTCATAAGACTCAAATCTAAGCAAATGTTAGATGGGCAAGTCATTTTTCAGAAATGATGAAGGAAAAACAGAGGTCAAATAAAATTTCAAAAGTGCAAGATAAGGGAAATTTCTACAGGCAGCAACTTTCTGAGCATACTCTTGAACACAATTGATGTCTTTATAAAAGAAGAGGCAACAGAGCCACTCATTCAGAGATCGAAGATGCACCACTCTCCGAATTTCAAAAGCCAGATTTTCCTGAATAAAATTCGTTGGCATTTTTCAGACGTAATCTCAGTTTTCTCAGATATCGCGTGCAACTTTGTCAAAGATCTCTGACAAAGTTGAAAACGCGTAAATCTTACTGTTCTATTTACACCACAGTTGCTGACAAGAGTAAAAGCACAGCACCACCACTTGCTATTGAGAAATATCTATATATGTCGACCTCTGTTCTCCATAACAAGGCAGACCTGCAACACTGCAAGAATACCTAACTCTTCTTCATCTCCGAGAATGCATCTTCAACATAGCATCTCGAAATACTCAGTTTTCTTCCTCTCCGAGAATACCTCTTCAAACATGTCACACCAGAGCAAGATTATCACATATCTTCAGGGACCAGAGCAAGATTATCTCATATCATGCAATTTCCCTGTCCTTTCCTTTGTCCTTATTCTTGCCTGCAAAGATAAAGATAAAGAAACCAATATGTCGGAACCTCCACTCAAACTCCCGGTAAGGAACCGACTGCCTGGAACATTTCCTGATTGCTTACCTAGTATTGCTCTCGAGTAGTCATCTTCAACGGTTGGAGCTGGGTCTCCAGTCACCAAGAAGTGATGAACCATTCAAATGCAAGGGTTTGCATTCCTTTCCTACATCAGGGGACAAATCCTACAAGAGAAGATGCCATACATGTAGGGGAAAACCAGGGAAAATACCACTTAAGCAAGGGGAGCAAGTAAGACAAGTGAAAATGATACATTGAAGCATGTGGAGACAAGCGCAACAAACACGTGCTGATTCATCCCTGACAAAACCGAAGATCACTTGCCATATGAAGCTCTTAACGGTACAATTTCATTCAAGATCAAGCCTCGAAGTCTTTGAAAAAATCATAAGTCCGATTCAAGATCAAGTGTCCACCATTTTTGAATCAAATTCCGCTCCAGATAAAAGGTGTAAATTCAGATCTTCGATGCTAGTCTAGCAGAAAGTCCTACAACCCAGTTCAAGAGAAAGCCTGTGGAAAGTTAACAACAAGTAAAGCAACTCTTTCAGCAACTCTTCTTACTAAGAGACTAAAGCAGAACGATCAACGATCAACCTAAATGATTTGAAATCAGGGGGAGATACTCATCATGGGGAGCATCCAAGACAGATCAAGATTTTAACGAGTCAATTGAAGACTTGTGGCCATCCAATGGGGAGTATTGTAAATATTATGTGGATGGCCCACATGAATGGTTTGTTACTATTTATTCACATTATTTTCATTATTCATTTGTGGAAAATTTGTAAGGTGAATAGTGTCATTTGATTATAAAATGAATGAGAGGAAGAGGAAGATAGAGGGTTCACGGGAAAGATGGGAATGAAAAGAAAAGAAGGAAGGAAGAGGAAGAGAGAGAAGGAAGAGGAAGAGAGAAAATAGAGGAAGATGAGAGGAGATAATAGAGAGAGTTATCTTTGTACTCCTATTATTTCAAATTATAACGAAAGCACCACTGCTGCCCCGAGGACGTACTCCAGTCACACTGACTGTAGAGGAACCTCGTAAATTTTGTGTCTTATTTCATTTATTCCACTGCACCCACAGTCGATTTCACAACAGATAAGATATTGTTAATATGTCGTTGATTTTTAAAATTAATAAATTTTTGGATAAATTACATTTTACACCCTCAAATATGGGGTTAATTACAACCTCATACAACATCTTTAAAACATTTCAATTTCATACATTTAGTTATATTTTCTTTTCAGTTTCATACCTCTGTTAAAAAATCTGTTAAATTAACTGTTAAGTGATGAAGTAGCAAATGTAGGGTCTATATTTACGCTGACATAGCTGTTAAATTTGCATCATGTGAATAAAAAATAATTATTTAATAAAAAATCAATTTATATTATTAATTAAAAACTAAAAGAAAATTGAAAGGGGTATATGGGCAAAGTTTAGCCCAATAACCCCATCTCTTCCTCGATTTCATCCCATCTCCTCTGTGCTTGTCTGCAACCAATAATCCCATCTGGGTTTGGGAAGCTTCTTATGTCGCCCTATAGAACTTCAACCTTTTCTTCTTCGTCCAACCTTCTTCATCCCTGCAAATCTCACGCATTGCACAAGACTCCCTGAACTTCCTCCCTCCATCGCCACGCACCAACACACTGCAAATCCCTGCCTCGAGATGAACTAAGTCCGGGATGGCGCCGGATAAAGAATTTGAGGACAACTACACGTTATTTAGTGAAATCAGGTCCCTGAACGAAGTGGGTATTTCACCATTGATGGAATTGGAGGAAAGGTTTAAGGTTTCAAGATTTTCAAGGAGTGTGAGGGAACTGGTATCTTCCCCCGAAGCTTATTGCCGGAAAAATCGATATGGGTAAGGTTTAAATTCAAGTGTTTCAGAATGTTGCCGGTTAAATTGACGTCGGAAATGGTGATTGACCTGAGCTTCTTCAAGCTTCCGATGATGATGATGAAGGGTTTGGAAGCCTTGACTTGGATGTTGGAGACGATGAGCTCGGTGAGGTTTTGGAAGCGAGCGAGCCAGACGCAAGTGAGGCGGCGAAGGAAGTTGATGCAGGTGAATGAGTGGAGGGAGACGACGAGGTCGGAGGGGAAGCCGATTGGAGCAATGGGGCAGTTGAGGGACTTAAGGGATTAGAGGGTGGAGAAGGATTTGAGGGCGGTGAAGGAGATGGCAACGTCATCGGAGCAATTGGCAAGGCGGAGGGAAAAGAGGTGGCAGAACGGCTTGGAGGAGTCGCAGCGGGTGGCGTTTGGGTGAAGTCGCCACCTCTTCTGTTGTTATGCCATGGCAGAGCCGCCATCTCCTTCGTCGATACGCCACCACACCCACCATTCTCTCTCCCATGTGACCACTTAAGTTCCCTATTTCAACCACGGAGGCTCTCGATTTCTACTGATTCATGAAATTCCTAATTTCAAACCATGCTAGATTTGAATTGTTAGGTTTCAATTGCTGCGATTTGGTTGTGGGTAAGGGTGTCGTGTCGAGGGTTAATGGTGATGGAAAGGCGTGTTCTTGGTGGTTATGAAGATGGGGTTGATCAGAGGGAGAAGAGGTGTGGGCATGGTAGAGAAGCGAATGAGAAGTTGACCAGAGAGAAGAGGGGTCGGGTGGGGTTGAATTTTTTTTTGTTGACATTTTAATTATTTATTAAATATTTCAAATAATAATACTTTTTTTTATCCACATGGCGCAAAGTTGACATCCACCTCATTAAAAAGTGGGTCCTATATCTGCCACATCATCACTTGACAGCCATTCTAATAGATTATGTAACGGATTATATGAAATTGCAACTAAATCATATTTGAGGTATGAAATTGTAATGTTTTACGGATGATGTATGAGGTTGTAATCTCACTTATACTCGAGGGTGCAAAATGTAATTTATCCTAAATTTTTAGTACTAGTATGGCAATTTTTTTTTTTGAAAAAATAATAAATATTTGACACATTTTTTCTTTTGTTAAATTAGATATTAAATTAAGAAGTCAACGGGATTTGAACTCACTGTCAATGTTAAGTTGTTAAAATGACACAGGTAATGCAATATCGTCGTTAGAGTTTTTAGCGGGTAGATTTGAAAAAGCCCACTCATTATAGAAGCTTGGGAGGGCCGGAAGGGCCCATGAGTTGAGCCCAGACCGCGAGGTGTGAATTCCCCATCCTCAGCAGCTGTCAGTCAGCACATCACCAGCTGCAGAGATTTCTCTAAATGCCAAAACGAACTCCAAACAAACCTACGATTTTCTCTTCCCTCTTCCTCCTCCTCCTTCTTCCCACTCTCCAACTCATACACCATTTCTTGGTCTGCACACGATGAAGTGAATTGGGTCGGGTCTTCCACCAATGTCCGAAGAAGAAGATGATGAGAAAACCCATGGCCGTCATCTGCCACCCACCTGAGCCCTTCCTCTTCCTCCTCCTCAAACCCTTTTATTCCATTTCCTCCCCCGCCACCGCTCCCCTTCCCCTCTCCCCCGAACCGCACGATCTCTCCGCCCAGCTCTTCTCCATTCTCTCCCGCCCCAATTGGCAGCGCCACCCTTCCCTAAAAAAACTTGCCCCCTCCATATCCCCTTCTCATGTCTCCTCCGTCTTCGCTCTCAAACTCGACCCCCAAACGGCCCTCGGATTCTTCAACTGGATTGCCCTTAAACCCGGATACAAGCACACTGTCCAGTGCCATTCTTCCCTCCTCAACATTCTCCTTCCCAATGGGTTTCTCCAGGTCGCGGAAAAGATCCGAATTTCCATGATTAAGGCGTCCAGTTCCCCACAAGATGCCGTTTTTGTGCTCGAATATTTGCGGGCATTGAATGGCGCCGAAGAGTTCGAGTTCAAGCTCACCCTCAGGTGCTACAATTTTCTTCTAATGTCATTGTCTAAGTTTTCCCTGTTTCAAGATTTGAAAGCTCTGTACTTGGAGATGTTAGACGATATGGTTTCGCCAAATCTGCATACTTTTAATACCATGATCCATGCTTACTGTAAATTGGGTAACGTGGCCGAGGCGGACTTGTATTTCAGTAAGATAGGGCAGGCGGGTTTGCACCCCGATACGTTTACCTACACTTCATTGATCCTGGGGCATTGTAGGAATAAGGATGTGGATAGTGGTTGTAGTGTTTTCAAGCTAATGCCGCAAAAGGGTTGTCAAAGAAATGAGGTTTCCTATACTAATTTGATTCATGGGTTTTGTGAGGCTGATCGGATCGATGAGGCTCTCAAGTTGTTTTCTCAAATGGGGGAGGATAATTGTTTTCCGACTGTGCGTACATTTACAGTTCTTATTTGCGCCTTGTGTAAATTGGGAAGGAAAATAGAAGCTATGAATCTGTTTAAAGAGATGACGGAAATGGGTTGTGAACCAAATGTTCATACTTATACTGTGCTCATTGATAGCATGTGTAAGGAAAATAAGCTTGATAAGGCAAGAAACTTGCTAAACAAGATGTTGGAGAAAAGGTTGGTTCCTAATGTTGTCACGTACAACGCAATGATTGATGGGTACTGCAAGGAGGGAGCAGTTGAGGCTGCACTTGGTATTTTGGCTTTGATGGAATCGAGTAATTGTTTTCCAAATGCTCGGACGTACAATGAATTGATTTGTGGATTTTGTAAAAGGAAAAATATACACCAGGCAATGGCACTGCTTGGTAAGATGCTTGATCGGAAACTCTCACCAAGCCTATATACATATAACTCATTAATCCATGGGCAATGTAAAATAGGTCATTTGGAGAGTGCTTATAGGCTGCTTAATTTGATGAAAGAAGGCGGTTTGGTTCCTGACCAATGGTCTTACAGTTCTCTCATAGACACACTCTGTAAGAAGGGGAGACTGGAAGAAGCTCATGCCCTGTTTGATTCTCTCAAAGAGAAAGGCATAAAGTTGAATGACGTGATCTTTACTGCTTTGATTGATGGTTATTGCACGGTTGGGAAAATTGACGATGCCCATTCTTTGTTTGATAGAATGCTTGTAGAAGACTGTTTGCCGAACTCATACACTTACAATACCTTGATAGATGTGTTGTGCAAAGAAGGAAGACTGAAGGAAGCATTATCACTGGTAGAAAAGATGGTAAGTATTGGTGTGAAAGCTACAGTACATACTTATACAATTCTAATTAAACAAATGTTGAAGGAAGGGGACTTTGACCATGCTCATAGGCTTTTAAACCAGATGGTTAGTTCTGGTAATCAGCCTGACCTATTTACTTACACCACCTTTATTCATGCATATTGCGGCATAGGAAATGTAGAAGAGGCAGAGAAATTGATGATTAAGATGAATGAAGAAGGAATTGTAGCAGATTCGTTGACTTACACATTGCTAATTGATGGATATGGACGCATGGGATTAATTGATTGTGCATTTGATGTTCTTAAGCGCATGTTTGATGCTTCTTGTGATCCTTCGCATTATACCTATTCCTTTCTGATCAAACATCTTTCAAATGAAAAGTTGACAGAGACAAGGAATAATATACTGGGAATGGATTTGATCTCAAATGTCTCCTTGATTGATATTGCTGATGTGTGGAAGATAATGGATTTTGACATTGCTTTAGACCTTTTTGAAAAAATGACTGGACATGGTTGTGCACCCAGTACCAACACTTATGACAAACTTATAGTAGGTCTTTGCAAAGAGAGGCGCTTGGAAGAAGCCCAGAGGTTATACAGTCATATGAAAGAGAGGGAAGTTTCTCCCAGTGAGGATATTTATAATTATCTTCTTAACTGTTGCTGTACATTGCAAAAGTATGGAGAGGCAGCAATCTTGGTGGATGCGATGATTGAGGATGGTTATTTACCGACATTGGAGTCCTCCACGTTGCTTGTATGTGGGCTTCTTGATGAAGAGAAGAGTGAGAAGGCAAAAGCAGTTTTTCGTACTTTGCTTCATTGCGAATATAATTACGATGAAGTAGCTTGGAAAGTTCTCTTTGATGGTTTACTTAAGAGGGGTCTTGGCAATATATGCTCTGAGCTCATAAGCATCATGGAGAAGTTGGGTTGCCGGCTTCATCCTCAGACATATTCAATGTTGATTGAGGGAATCGATAGTCCGTAAAACTGCTGGGTTTTTTTTCTTCTGGGATTTAATTCTTTATCTGTGAGCACTACTACAAGCAAAGTGATTTTAAAACTTATATTCCCAGATATCTGGTAAGCACTATGAATTGTGAATACAGAGTGTTCACACTATAAGATGCTACAAAGATCATTATTTATGTCTCAGGAGAATATGATACTGGATTTGCAGTCTTTATTTGCGCTGTGAATGTACCGTCTCTTCAGTGAGTGCATATATGTTTCTCTGGGACGAGGACCTTGGCATTGAGGATTTTGACTCAAAATGGTCAGTATAACCAGTACAATCCGGTAAAACGTTCTTAGCATCCATGTGGTAAGTGCTGTTATATTTCACTGTTTTGGCTGATTTGATGTTTTAGATAACTGATGCATGAAATACCCACAGATTTATGCATGCTTATTTCCTGCTCACCGGCCAGTAGCCACTAGGTACTAACTGCAAATTGGGAATTGGAAATATTAGAATTTTATGCTTTTGTTTGATGTGGGTGCACAAGAAGTTAAGACCTAAAATGGTGGAATGTCAAATTACCGTTTCAAAGCCATTCAGTCAACGCTTTATATAAAAGAAAATTGGGCACTGGCTTTATATTTGACACATAGACAAATGTGAATGTACATTAAGGCATGATAAATTTCCCACAAAAAAAAAAAAAAAAAAAAAAAACTCCACTCAAATGCATACCATGTAGTAATATCTCATATTGTTTGCCCTTCCCATAAAAAGTAAAAATAAAAAATCTCACATTCTTGGAAATGAAGGCATTATTTTTTCCCCCAAAAAATGCATTTAAATATCATATCACTAGGTGATTTTCGGATCTTCTACTGAAGAAAAAGAACTTTGGAAAGAAAAACTAGTACAGGCGATGAGGCCAAAACCAATTTTTGTATTTTGTACATACTAGACACAATTTCACGTAAATGATTTCTTTGTTTATCCTTTTTGTGCTATTGCATCATGAACACGTTAAATTTTGTGTAGATATCTAAAAGTACCACGGGAAGATGGACTTGAAATATCAGAGCTAGCTATTGATGACGCCAAGTCAGAGCTGTATCATTCAATCAATAGATGTATGAAGAAATCAGAAGTGCAGAGGTTAGTGTATTTCTTTTTTCTGGACAAGTGGATTTGTACCTTTTTTTTGTCTTTTAAACCATAAGCATGTCTGCCTTCACTTTGTTCAAGTCGAAAGTTTTGTTATCACTAGCCTTATGGTGTCATTGTACTGGGGAGAGTCTCAAACCCCAAACCCTAAATTAAGGTTAAAGTTTTTGCTTCGCATTCCTCTTAACAGCGCCATCTTAGTTTCTCCAAAATTATCTCACATTTGATCATCCTACTCCCTGTTAGGCCAAAATTAATAAGGGGATATTGAAAGGTGTTTGATGTATAAAAGTGGTGGTGCAAGTACAAATCCTTTGCTGCTTCTGTTTTGACTTCACTATGCTTGGCAAGGATTTGTTTTGGGAGGTAATTGATTGCTTATTTTGTGCTGGCAGGATGAGCTCAGCTTTGGCGCTGATGTTCGATGTTGTTCACTCTTCATTCCATCTATTCATTTGCACAAGTGAGTAAATTAGTAATGCCCTTCCTCCTCAGAAAAAGATTCAAAAACATGTGTGTTTGAATTCTTTGTTAATTTGTTTTCTTGCATTGACAATGGAAACACGTCGCCTTTCATTTTCTTCCAGTGGAACCACTTATCTAGTTAGTGTGACTTATCGGGTTGCTAGGATGCTGGTCCGGTATTGCAATGAAGATCTCGTGCGGTAAAAGGGGTTAACAGTGTTTGGTTGCCCCATGCATATGCCAACTATATTAGCAAACCAAATGCAAGAATGCAAGGTCGGTGGTCGCCATTCATATACTCATCAGAAAACAGAAATCAGTACTGTATGGCTGTGATTGTGCGTGCAGATTATCGGGCGCAGAACCGGCTGAGCTGGGGGAGCTTGGAGGGAAGTGGCTGGTATTTACTCGATCGTACAGCCTCACCTGCTGACATGATATATCTCAAACAATGTATAGAATTTTCGTGATGATTTCAGACAGCAGATGACAAATATTTCAAGTCTGACGAGCAATCAATTTACGATGTATTATGTTCATGTCAAGTTTCAACGTAATGCGATCCCGTTTAAAAAGATTGTTCAGTAGAGGACGTATGGTTGTACATTTCTTCAGGTAAATTATTAATGTTCATCAAATTGCATTTGTGTATACAGCAACCTCATCATCTCTGCTCCTACAAGCTTTTTCTTTCTATTTGTAACAGGTTCGATTTGTGCGCGTCGTCCTCATCCTCGTAGTTTTATCGACCCCACCCCGACTCATGAGGACATCACCAATCCGGATCCTCGATCAGATTGGTTGTTGGCTAATTAAAACAAACTAATTGGTAATCAATACTACTAATTCTCAACAAACTGGATTTGGATGTGGCTTACACCAAGAAACCAAAGTTGATGTAGGCGATCGTTAACGAGACATTGCTTCAAATTCCGAAGCATCAAGTGGCAGAAATGAGAGAGGAAGTCATAAGATTGATTCCGAGAGTGATATATGCAGATCCAAGGGCATCCTGATTGGAGACAGTTGAAGATGCATTCGAAATAGCAGTTAAGGGAGTGCTTGGCAAAGTACAGAAAACTAGGAAGGACATGAAAGAGGGTAAAGATCCTGGCAATGCTTTCTGGGAAATAAACCCTACTGAATTCGATATGCCTAAGCTCGGGATGAGGGGAAGAAAATTTAAACAGAAGTATAACCGATTGTTTCTTAATAAGCAACAATCGTGTTACAATGCAAGTATTTCCAAAAGTTAAATCACATTTGAATTTGGAATTAGCTTTCTCTACATTTATATAGTACCTTCCTTGTCCTAAGTGTATACCAGAAAAGAACGTAGAGTGATGAATGATTACTTTTATCCGCCATCGAGGTCCTTGGCATGAGCCAGCATACATTAGGTTACAATGTTGGCAAACCTGTCTCCTGTTTGAAACTTCTGGACCTCGGTTTCCACACCAGCAATTAGCTACTGGAGCCAATTAATCAAACCTTACAGCGAGCCGATTTAGCTGCTACTTTGCTTTGCATCGCGGATGTGGAACATAAGCTGCAAGATATGCAACTTCAGACCAATCATAGAAATAGAGCAGACACACGCACTATGATATGTATACAATTGTCTGCTTATGGAAATGTTCGGGTTTAGGGTTTATATCAGAAAGAAAATTGAACGAAATCCTGAAACGTCATTTTGATACAAGATAAATATAAGCCCAAAATACATAAGAAAATATCTGAACTCCTAATGACTGGGTTCCATTATATTTAGGCATGAGAAGAAATAGTGAAATTACTATAAAATAAATTTTTTACGCATTTTCCATCTCAAAACATATCCACATTGCGAAACTAATTCTAAAAGGCGACATATTTAAACTTCACCGTTAAAGAAATAAGCAGATAATTGTGACATTACCTTTGTCCCTACATAAAATGTCAAAAGCATGCCTGCCAAAACCGGAAGTCCTGTACAAAGAATATCATCAGTCCTCCCAGAAGCAGAATTGTGTAAGGATAACAAGAAACCTCAGGACATGAAAATTCAAGTTACCTTCTCGTTTAAGGAATTGAGAAATCAACCAACTAATCCCAGATGGTCCAATAACAAAACCAACAAGGTTTGCTACCTGCAGAAACATTGAATGCTTGTATTGTTAGCATTTACGAATTCTTGTAAACACATAAGGTGATTCCCAGTTTGCAATACCCACTAGTTTGGCAAATGCGTATAACACGATACATTTTTAAGTGCTAAGTACACTGAAACCAGTGGGATGTGCTAGAGAACCATTGCAAAAATGAAACTCTTAGGCTACCCTTCACTCTTTAAACACATATGTTTCAATAAACTGTCACTGTAAAAAGGCCTTAAGTGGTTTGAATCATTTAGCCTTTCAAAAGAGAAAAAGGCAAACGAATTTCGCAAAGGGAAGGAAAAGACTACTAAATGTTTATATTTGACAAGCAGAGAATTTCAGATATATAAGCATCATCAAATTAGTCTAAAAAATAAAGAGCAAAATGACCTTATTATTACTTCCTTTTCACTCAAGCAAAAGTGCAAATATCAAAAGTCAATACCAGCATCAACAAGAATATAAAAATAGTTATGATTGATATATGCTTTAATCAAATGCAGGATACAGACCATGAGACAAGTGATAGTAATTGCACCAGCAACCGCACTAAGTTCACGAACAACAAATTCCCCATGAGTACTCTTAACCTGACAACAAATACATGACAAAATCAAAATTGTTAAGCTCGACAGATAAAAATAAAGGTTAACATACTCCTCTTCTCTTCCTCTCCCTCCCTAAGCTTCGTATGTGTGTAAGTATAAAATAATGAACTACAACGAGAGAAATCACAAAGCAAAAGGGTTGCCAACATGGTTGAGTTCTAGAGCAAGTTTGTGATTTTTCTTACAAAACCTTCAGGTGCGTTTGTTGCATCAGACTATCTCGGACTGGACTAGCTTTATAGACTAAGCTGGACTGACTTAGACTAGACTAAGTTGGATTGACTTAGTGAAGTGCTTGGTGCAGAGTCGGACTAAGAAGCATAATTAAGGACAAAAAGGAAAAAAGTCTTTGTTAACAAAACTTTCTCCAGAATTTTCTAATGCAAAGAAATTGAACCCAACATCAAAAATTTTTGTAGAATCCAACTACACCTAGCAACCAAATTTTACATTCTCTCAACCCAAAAACAAAACTTTCCAATAAATCAATGGAACCCAAAAGCCCAGCTGAAAACCCTTCGAATTTTTCAATTGGGAACTCAACTTACTCATATGAATTAGAAGAACCCAGATAAAAATCACATTGATTTTTCGAACTTTCAAAGTCATATTTCCATTGATTTTCAATCTTTCCTCATTTTCCAAATTACCCCTCCACTCCTTTCTCTCCCCATCCCCCCTCAAACTATCAAATATGCGACAAAAACTTAACCCCTTTTCAGGAAGCCAAACATCCACTTTCTATAAAAGAGAGAAAGCACTGAAATTTCCACAGAGCTCCAAGACTTGTCGGTCATTTGAGTTCTTCAAATTCAATGTGATTTTTCAACTCGGGACTCAAAATTCAACTTGGAAGTGGGCGTCTGCCATGGCCAAACTCTCGATCTGCTTCTTGGCTCGCAGAGTTGGCAGTTTCTCCATCAACACCCCAATTTTGGCTGTAACATCCACCGACAGCGGCGCCTCTTCAGCTGTGAGCTCCCCCCCTGACTTAGGCAACGAAAGAGCAAGCACTGCGATGCCCTGGTGACGATGCCGCAAAAGAAGCGGGGACTGGATGTTAGTGAGCAAAACTTGGGGATTGGATGTCGGCCTTCCTTTCTAGTCCCCCTTAATACCAAGCGAAAGCTTGGGATTAGACTTAGCGAACCCCGGAGGGCCTCATAGTCGAGGCGAGTCCCACTTATTTTAGTTCGAGGACATACCAAACACAGTATTATAGTCCTACTTAAGCTAGTCCCTCTTAAGGAGGTGAAACAAACGCACCCTCAAAGTACAAGATTAAGTCCACGATTTTTTTTCGCCTAAAGGTTGAAAGTCAGGGTCCAGGCTTCAAATTGATTACCATCCAACAAATCAGAAACCCCTAATCCGCAAGCCAACAACAGCTAACTGATTGGCTTTATGGGAGGGACGAGAATTGGGATGATCATCCTCCCATAAGTTAAACCAAACAATAGAAAAACAGCAATGGTAATAGGAACAAAGAGGTCACCTGAAATGCATTGGTTGCTGATTTCAATATCATTTCCGGAATAAAGAATAAGCATGTCAGCCATGCCCACGAAAGAAGCTTCCTAATGCCAAAGATAGAAATTAAGTTAGAATAAGGAACAAATTTCAATAAGGCTCTACTCCCATTTGACAGAAAGCTAAGATGTATTCAATAAGAAAAATTCAACAGCAACAAGTACCATTCTAGATCATGCCAAATGGCAACAAATGTGAATACAACCCATACATTGAGAAGCTTCCTCCGAGTGCCCCCAAGAGGAATGTACAAATACCTATTGTTTTCATTTCCCAAACAAACATGTCAGAGTTAGAAACAGGATTACAAGAGAAATTTGAAGCACAACAGGTTGAAAGTTTCACCTCACAAGCCATTTGTTGTAGGAAGCATGCCAGTTCTTCCAAAAAGTTTCCAAGTTGTAGCAATTATTTATACACCTCGGCATATTCTCAGGGACCTCAATGCCACATATCTGCAGTAATTAGAAAAAAAATCATTGTCCCACTGCAAAGCAATATCAATACTAAAAGATACAACTAATTTATAGTAGACGGACAACCCAGCAGTAAACGCCAAAGTTCGGAAGAAATGGAAATAAAAATTTATTGACATATACACACCAGTGACCAGAACCGGAAATAGCGCCATATCAGAAAAAACTTTAGCCACATGAAGATTAAAACCTGCACCATCATAAGAAAGTAAATCACCTTTACCTAAGCTAAAACAAATAGATGAAGTCACCTAACAACTAGAATGGAAATCCAGACAAGGTGAAAGGAAAATACTAAAAGACCCAATTAAAAAAAGGGTCTGATAAAAGTTCACCAAATAAATTATTATATCCAGGTAAAGTAACCAAGTAACTTTACTTTGCAGCAGACAGCAGAGTGTATGAATATGGTGAGGAACTTGAAAATACTTGCATAAGAATTCTTACATCATATCTATGAGGAATGTAAAGATTACAATTTAATGATTGATACTATTACAAATGAACTTATTACAAATAACACTTTGGGGATTGATTTAACTTTTAATAGCTAACTCTCTCATGCATTTTTCTTTGCTCAAAGAAGGTTATGGATACCACGTATTTTAAGATATACTTGTTCATTATTTTTTATATTCTCATAAGTAGGAACTATCACATTATTAAACATTTAGTCCATGCACAAAGAGTCTAAGGTAGGTGTGTTTTGTATTTTCTGGAATTAATTACTACATTACCACCTCAAATTAAAAGAACATTATGCGGCTTCACAATGTATTTCAATCATATAAAAAGCTTGAGATACTAAAATTCTAATCATCAAAGACCTTGATACTGTAAGGATCATCTCTTACCCCATATCCAATAATAAACACATCCATAGGGTATAACTCTTTCCACATGCCACTAATAGGTACAGAAAAAGAGAACCTAGTTAATATCCAAAAGATAGAATACACACATGCGTGGGTGTGCGCACAGACACACATACACAATACAGGGTGTATCTTTAACTAGACACTCACCTGATTGCAAACGCATTGTAATAGAAAAGATGTGTCATTAGTTCCATCAGAAGAAGACTGAACACCCAGCGCAAACCATACCAAGCAATGTCCTTAGCTGAAAAGTTATTTTGAGGAACATCCAACTGAAAGAATATTGCAATAAAGGTAAATACTGAGACTCTGCAGAACATACAAGCATGGACTATCATCTCCAACAATATGGAAAGCACATCCAGTGCACTTGGCAATCCATAAATGACCAAATATTTCAAATTATTTAAAAAAAACAGTACCAATATTGAAAGTGACAGACCTGTGAGGCAAATGCATTGAAGCTTACAATTGGCCCAGTAAGATAAAGAGGTGCATACACCAAATACGCAAGGTAAGTCGTAAAGGCATACATGTCATTCTGGACACCTGTCTCCTGAGTATAACAAACACAATTATGAACACATGGAAAATCCATTTGGATGAAAGTTGATTTAAGGATCCACCAACTGCAATAATACTAGGCTTGCACTTAAGTAGAAAGCATAAGCTAACCTGTAAAACATGGTAACAAGTTTTCCCTGATTTACAAATATTGCAACGCTGAATGTGTTTCTGCATACAAGACCAAGAAACATTAGCACTTTGTAAATAGCTAAAGTGCAAAGTATTAAATCCTTGACAATAATCTGCATGCATGAATAAGCAGAGAAAATCCATCAGAATGAACTAGGAATCACTAAGATTCACGGTAATAGCTTTACATTAAACAAAAGAGGGTTGCTGAAAATATGTTAATGGATACTGGCACATGAATTGGTGTAAGAATTTGTAGTTAATACTATAATAAATTCTGTTAACATAGCAATTGGCAAGCATGTGAAGGACAATGTTAAAGTACCATTGAGTGCAACCACAGAAAACTAACTAGATATCAACTTCAAAAGCAAGCTGCAGAGCAAGAACATTGAAACCATGCAGGGTTGATTGATGTGAAAGTAATAACCACTCTTGACTCTCATCCATAGAACAAGCTGGAAAGAAAAATACCATAAAGTTCTAGAACAAAAAGTAACACAAGCTTGTTATTATTTCAGGCCACAATCATAGGTGGGCTGGAGACTAACCTCTAAGTCAAACCAGTTTGGCTTATACAAAGTGGCCTAATAGGCTTTCAGAGGAAAAAATTAATCTCCTGAAAAGGTTTTGATGTATTAATTACATGGTGTATTTTAGGTTCATTGTTTTGGACTCTCATATTCAATGTCTTTAAGTCTCTTATTGTCACATGATTAGGTGTTGTGAATTTTCTTTTAGGATTTCAAAGTGTATTAGCTGTGAGGCTAGATTTTTTTTCTAATTTCTATGAAAAATGAATCCAATACACCAATGGTTTTTGCCAAAGGCCAGAGAGTGATCCCAGATCACTCTTTTCTTCCTTTCTCTTACTAGTGGCCCGCATCACCACCATAACCAGAAGCGTTGGACGGTTAGTAACATCGTTTCCATGTAGACTCCGTGACAAAGTAATCCAATAAAATACATACCAGAAAAAAAAAGGCGGAGGGACAGAACAGAGAAGATAGCATACACATCACAGCTCAAAGGAACACAAATACCTTATGGTCAAAACGAGATTCTCGATGTGCCCAATGGTAATCATAGCCAAAGCTTATCATCCGCAAAACAACTGTCACAAACAACCAGAATAAGAGATTAAAAAAAACCATATAAAAGAATCACAAATATATACTAATGTATAAAAGCAGGTTGCAACACTACTCATAGTGCTTTGTGAATCCATTCTTTTTTTCTATTAACTTCCATTCATATTATCTCAATTGAAAGTTTTACTTATTTTTATACATGCAATTACTGAAATAAGAATCTAGGTACAATGAACTCGTCTCCCAAAGAGTCATCTTGACAACAAAAACTTCACTGCCTACTTCATAGCTTAATTGGAGGCTCCAAAACCACAATTTTACACCAGCAGACATGAAAGAGATCATAATTACCAAATACAGCCATAACTCGTTGAAACGACTCAAATTTTCAAACATATTCATCCACCATTTTGGTTCTGATATAACGAGCCTTACACACCCTTGACCTAATCCACAAGGCTCCAATCTGTGGCATTGTGGGTCTGCTCCAAACTGCAGTAATCATGGAATAAGTTGACTGTACTTGGTAATTATGGGAACCCGTCTTTGCAGTCTGAGAACCCATTTCCAAACTGCTCCAAGCAGCCAACTTAATATATAAGAGTATTCAACTATTAGATGTTGGGGAGTCCAATCTTATGAGTAGGATTCTCATACTGTAGAGATGGGTGATGTCATTAGGTTCTCAGAAAGTTAGCTGCTTTTTCGGTCTCACAGATCATATTGGCAAACCCGTCTGGGTATTTTGTAGGATTGCATACATAGATTTGTGGCTACATAGTAGATTTGTGTCTACATAGGTATTCACATATTTCACGAAAGGTCATATGCACATGATATGGAAAAGAAGATGAATACACAGTAATGAAAGTATGATAACTAGAATTAAAATGTCAAAATGAGGAAAGCACAATACCAAAGTTAAAGCAAATGTGCCATCTAAAGGTGCCCCGAAAGTTGTCCAAATATGCCCAGCGTTGCCTACATAATAATATGCAGAAGCAGATATATCACAATTTATCTGTTAAGTACCCAATGAAGTACTAAATAGCCTAGCCTAGCCAACAAAACTCACCCAATTATGGAGAATGAATATCCTTCATAAACACGATTGCACAGAAGAAAGAATATGTTGAAAATCCAAAATACAAAAGGGAAATACTTTGTTCGTGCAAATATCTGCAAAAACACAAGTCCAGTAATGTATGGCAAGAACTCAAAACAGTAGGGCATAACTCTAACAAAGCAAGAAACAAAATGAACTCTTGGAATAGGCTCAAAACAGTAGCCCATATAATTGTACATTCCTCATAAGAGTATTTTTCTTTCTAAATATAGAAAGTGTGGAAAGCACTTTTAGATTTTTGGAGTGACAATAACAATTCCCTAAAAGAAAATGCATTGCATTATGTATCCAAGCATGAATGGAGCTCACCTTTACCAAAAGAAAATTCATTGAAGCGATTGCGAGGATAAATATAATGCTTGCAGAAACAACGGAAGTCAGATAACTGCACCTCCTAAGAAAGAGCATATAATCCAAGTACAGTTATGAAGGTAAGACATACCAGGCTCCATGCAGATATGCTAGGTATGTGAAAGAAATCAAAATCCAAATAATGGACATCCCTCTCGCTTTTAAATGAAAGCTTGTCCTCAGCAAATTAGCAATCAACGTGAACATTGTGAAGACACCAGTAAGAACAGGAAAATTTCCTCGAAAGTTTCTCCATTGAGCATCAGAAACATCCTAAGCAGAAAAAGAAAGGTGCTTTTCAGGTAAGAACAGGAATGTCAAAATAAAACTTGTGTAGTTTTGTTAGAACTTTCAGTACATCCAATGTTTTTAACACCATGGTACTGCAGTAAATCAACACACGAACAAGAGTCGTATATAGAAACGGAATAATGCTTCTGGAATTTGAAAATCTATCTGCTAGTGATAACGTCTGCCTCAATCTAATTCACATTTCCAGCCTCAGGAAACTTTCCAAAGGTTGAGCATTAATGTGCTCTGATCCCCTATTTTTCAAACCATTATTTTCTACGATTATAATTGTGAAGGAACAGAATTTACATACATACGTGTATCACGCACACACACACATTATATATATATATTTAAACACCATGCCATTTGAATGGCACCATTGGCCCTTCGGGCAACACTCTAAATTTCATCATACTCCTTGTTTAGCCAGCTCAAAACTCAAGAGCTAAACGCGGATCCCTAAAACCCGACTCCACACCACAACAACAACAACAAAGCCTTTTCCCACTAAGTGGGGTCGGCTATATGAATCCTAGAACGCCATTGCGCTCGGTTTTGTGTCATGTCCTCCGTTAGATCCAAGTACTCAAGTCTTTTCTTAGGGTCTCTTCCAAAGTTTTCCTAGGTCTTCCTCTACCCCTTCGGCCCTGAACCTCTGTCCCGTAGTCACATTTTCGAACCGGAGTGTCAGTAGGCTTAAAACTAATCGAAAAACTTAAAAAAGAACAGGGAAACACACACATACACAGAGAACTAGACCGCCCGAACAGCGGCATGTCACAGTCCACTTCAGAATTTACATATACGTAACAGTTACACTGCACCAGAGAACTTTCCCAACTGTCTAAAGTAAAATTTCCCAAGTTATCTTTGAACAAAAACTGAATTTTATAAAGAGAAAGTAAAAAGTAATGAAATTGAAAGAAGAAACCCACATTGAGGCGATGAGGAATGAGGCATCCAGGACGCAAACCGAAGAGCTTAGCATGATGATCTGCGTATCAGAAAAATGGGTTTTCAATAAATAAATAAAGACAAGAAGAAAAGAGAACAAGAAATGGATGATACCGCACCGCGAGAGAGTTGGAGGGATCGATGGATGATGAAGGCATAGAAAGCAGCTGCGTAGAGAATGAGAAATCCCACCTCTCCTTTCAACAACTTCATAGCTTCTGCTGCTGCTGCTTCTGCTTCCTCTCTCTGTCCTGAATTTCAAACTTTGATTTTGTTGTGTGGTTTGATCTTGGTGGCCAACAACGGCACCATCTCTCTCGTTTCTGCTCTGCTCTCTCAGCTTTGTTTAAAGGGACCTTCTCCTGCCACCTAATAGTAAAAGAGATCTCATAATACCAATAATTACCAGTCTGCCACTATTTTCACTGCCAAAATTCGGAAATTCTTATAGGAGGAAATTGTAGTCTCAATTAAAAATTCGTGATTATTGATGTTCTAACTCATCAAAATGTGCATTTATGATTATTTTCGTCAATTCCTTTTGAACTTTTGTCAAAATGAGTCATGTGTCATGCACGTGAGGCTGAATCAAAAGGCAAATAAATAAATCCAAATAAGAAAAATTATAACAATGTTTCCTCAACTTTTATCCGATTTGAGAAATGATCACTTAACAATTTTGAGAAATACTCTAATTGAGTTAAAGTTGAAGAACTATTTCTACCATTTTCTCTTCTAGGGACTTCCATTTACACTCTCAATTTTGGGAAAAACATTTTAATATATCGGAAACACGACTTGAAACCCTAAGTATCATAATATAATTATTTAATTTTTTGTAAGTATGTAATTACTTGTATTACAACAGAAGTACCGAATCGTGTCCTGGATGAAAAATTCTACAAAGCGAGTGGTTTTTATTTACATTAGCAAGCGTCCACACACACTGTATAAACATTTTTATTTTATTTTATATTTTATCATGAAGTGGGATTAGTTTTTAAAATTCTAAAAAAAAAAATCAGTTATGAAAATTGGAGTAATTATGAGAAGTTTCTTGGAATACTTTTTGTTTTTTACTTTATTTTTTGTTTAATTTTTAAATAGAACATGTTATACTAATTTGGTTGTGAGGGGTCAAATTCAGAGTAAATTGTAGCTATGGTCCCTTAACTTTAACTAAATTGGAGCAATGGTCCCTCAACTAAAAATCCATTACCTTTGGTCCCTCAACTTATCAAAACGTGCAGCTATGGTCCCTCAACTAAAAATCCATTACCATTGGTCCCTGAACTTTAATTCAAGTGGAGAAATTGTCCTTTAACTTTAATCCAATTGTAGCAATGGTCCTTACAATATAACTCGTTTTGACAAATTTTTTGACATAGTTGACGAAAAGAACTATAATTATACACTTTGATGAGTTGAGGGACCCTAATTATATAAATGGTCATTCCAACATAGCTTATTTTGACAAAATTTTGACAAAATTGATGAAAATGACTATAGCTACACATTTTGATAAGTTGAGGGACCCTAATTATATAAATGGTCATTCCAACATAGCTTATTTTGACAAAATTTTGACAAAATTGATGAAAATGACTATAGCTACACATTTTGATAAGTTGAGGGACCAATGGTAATGAATTTTTAGTTGAGGGACCATTGCTCCAATTTGATTAAAGTTGAGGGACCATTTGTACAATTTACTCTCAAATTTATGTTCATGTAATTACTAAATTTGTCCTTTTTTTTTATTTGAGTCCAGTTTTGGTAATGGAGTTAAAATGGTAATTTTATAGTATTTTGATTGTCATCGAGGATTTATTTTAAAAAAACTAAACAAAAGAATTTGAAAATTTTAAATTTGATCAATAAAGACAAAATAAATAGGAATAGACCTAGGGTGGGTGTGCCTAGCAAATGAACGGGTTCAGTTAAGAGCCCTCGTCTTCCTTCTTCGTTAGTATAAAAGACGCTCACAGTCGGGGACACACAGAAAGTGATTGAAGGAGCTGGGGAGAGAGAGAAAGCGCCAGCCTCTCCCTCGGTCCGTACAAAAGCGCGCGGATTATATCTCCAACAACCCTAAAACCCTAATCCCCCGAATCCCATTTCTGAGACTCTGACAATTTTGATTGATCGATTCGAAATTCTTTTGATTTTTGAGAAATTTTGTGCCCACCAATCGCGAACAACAAGAAGATGTCGTCGTCGTCGTCGTCGTCGTCGTCCAGGCGAGTCGTGAAGCGTGTAAAATACAAGGATGCAGTAAAAAATCCTGGCACTCCCGGCGTTTTAACCATGGTGCCCGACTTTTACTTATTTCTTCAAGTTTTTCTCTCATTCGATCGCATTGCTTTTCGCGTTTCACTAATTACTGCTGTTGTTGTTCTGCAAATATTGTATTATTTTCTACGATTGCTGATTGATGGTTAAGATTTATGGGATTAGGGACATAGTTCAAAATTTCTTACATTTAAGGACATAGTCGATGTGGATAAAGCTTGCAAATCATGCACCAACAGTTGGGTTGTATTAATGAGTTTTGTCCTTGGTTGTAAGGATACCTTTGCTGCAAGTTTTGAGCCAAGATAAAGTTTTTGCCTAAATATGCGACGATCGGATTTCATTGGTTTAATGTTATTTTTGTGAATATGTTGGTCTGTGTAGGTTGAGAACAGGTTTGTGTTCAAGCCAAACGATCCCACGTCTGCCAGAATGCTTGATGTGGAGTTTAGACATATTAAAGGTACACCTCGTAATCGCTGCGGATTTATTTCTATGAAGCAAACACCTTGATGATCATTATTTTGCTTCTTTTTTTTCAAAGTCTTGGTACTTCCAAACTAAAAGACCCATATCTTTGCTAATCTTGATATTCAATCATTCAATTTCTCTGGATTACGTGCTCGCTATTGGAGGTGTTTTTTTAATTCCTTTTTCTTGTTCTCGCTCTTGAACTTTCAGGTCACAAAAACACTAAGGAGGGATCCAAGCAACCACCTTTGCTTAATCTCAGCAGCAGTCGTGAGGTTTTCTTTTAGTTGTAATTTATGTTACATCCTACCACAATTTAGAGCTACTCTGATGCAGTTTCTCTATTCTTTATTGACGGGATTCATGCAACTGTGATGTTCCAGGGTATAAGTTACATTTTTGAGTTTCAAAGTTATCCCGATCTTCATGAATGCCGAGATTTTGTAGGTAAATCCCAATCACATCCAGAACATGTATGAAATTCTATGATGTTGTGGTTCAAAGGCTTATTTTCACATTCTTCTTTTGCTCTATATTGCTTCTTGTTGTTGTAACTGTTTAGTCTTGTGTCGACTGCCTTTACTGGAATGGACTGCATCGTAAGAGATAGCCAGTAGCCATTGTTTTTCTTTAGAAACCACTCAATGACTCATTCATCTGCAAATCTAACATTCTGCTGATTAATTCAACTTCTGTTGTTTAGTTGAATTTTGAGAGTTTTCCATGCAAATACTGCCTGTAGATGTGGCTGTAAGAGGAGGACTGTTTTGATGCCTTTACCTTTTGTAGTTATCTACAAGATTCTACATAACATTCAGTTGCCAACAGTGTTTTTTTATGCCACATCTTTCCTTACGAGCTTTGTCCACTGAAACTTATTTTGTTTTGTTCTTGTTAGATTATTTGACTTTTCTGTCTGGGTGTGTTTTAGTTAATTATTTACTCTTAGTCTTAGATTGTGCTATGTGGTGTCTTTGAATAGGCAATGCCCTATCTAAGGCTACAGAAACTGCAAAAACTGCTTCTGAGAGAGATGGAGTTACATTCCCTGATGAACAACTCAGTGCAGCAGAAATGGAGCTCCGTATGAAGTTATTGCAAGAGGACAGGTAGCTTTGTCTCCTCCCGATCAGATATCAAACACCAGCATCTCACATTTTGTAGCGCCATGGAATAGTTTTAAATTAATTTTATTTCCTTATAGAGATGTTTTATTTTTAATAATTCTTTGGTTGAACTATAATATGGGTTTTTACTTTCATCTTAATGCTATAGAATCTCAGCAGGACAGAATTAGGATAACCCACCCTTTCTACAAGTTCACACATTTTTATTTTCTATTTTGTACCATATTATATATTACAGTTTTCTAGTCATAGACTTCTGCCCAGAATAAACTACTAAAGATTGTTAATGACAAAGTAAATCTGATGATAGCTATTTAAGAATCAGGACAATACACACCACCAACTCGTATGTTGTTTATACAAGATTGCCACTCGTTTTTATTTTTTATGTACTTCTTCTATAATAATTCTTACATTCTCCTAGTCATAACTTACCCCTAGAATCAACTTTTAATGAAAAATGTTGACATAAATTATATAAATCTAATGATAGCTAGTGAAGAATCATGAAAGCGCTCCATCAACTCGTAGATTATAAGTTCCCACCTGTTTTTCTAGTCATAAGTTTTCCCCCAAAACCAATTAATAACAGTTGATGTTGAAATAATTTAATGTAGATTCTGATTAGTTTGATTCCTAGCATTGATAGGGTACAACTCATACTCACATACAGACCAAACCTGGATGGACTCCACTTCCAAAGTGCTTCAGTCCCTTTTCAGTTTCAGATTGCTGAATTCAAGCATTTGGTTGCTTTCTTGTCTTTTCTGCAAATGATTTGGCCCCTTGGTGTGTGTTTTCGACGAACCATATCCTGGTACAAGGAGTCCACCAAAAAAATAAAAATAAAAAAAGCAACTCCACATGAACAAAAATACCCAACTATCATGTTGCCTTGTTCTGTCTACAAGTTATTTTCTTTGGCCTTTGTTTTCTAGGTGGAAATTTGGGCGGTAATGATAGTTATAAAATCTTGTAATTTATGTTTATGATGAGCTGAGGTTTTGAGAAGGTGTGTTGCAATTTCTTGTTACTAGATTGTTTGCTTCTGAGCTTTCTGTGTATAACTACTGTTTTATGTCACTAAATTTTACTCTTCACAGTGAATTGCAGAAACTTCATATGCAGTTTGTAATCAGTGGTGTCTTGACAGAATCTGAGTTCTGGGCAACTAGGAAGGTGAGATACCGTAATGAAGACAGATTCTTATTCATGTTTATATAAGTTGTGTTAGTTTTTCTTTTCAACTGCAAGCCTATACATAGTGTTGGTTCCCCCCCACCCACAGTACTACACTGACAATTGAAACAAATTTAGCAGATAGTGTATGGTGGTTACTGTGACATTTCTGCCTTTCCAAATTTATTGCAGAAGTTGCTTGATGGAGATAGCCGTACAAAGCCAAAACAACGGGTTGGTTTTAAAAATTCAATGATTTTGGACACCAAACC